TATATATATATATATATATATCCAATCGATTTTGACAATGAATTCAATCGATTTGGAGAGTTGATAAATCGATAACATGTAGGGCTGTAAACGAACCGAACAAACATGAACAGAGGTTTGTTCATGTTTGTTTATTTAGCTTAACCGAACAAACGAACAAACGAACAAACACGAACGGTAAACGAACGAAAATAATTGTGTCCGTGTTCGTTCGTTTAGAAATCAGATGTGTTCGTGTTCGTTTATGTTCGTTCGTTAACAAGCAAAACGAACGAACATAAACGAACGGGTTTAACGAACATAAATGAACAGGTTTAAACGAACATAACCAAAGAACAACAATACTTGTCATTCAATTAACTATTACACACCAATTATCCGTAGTTTAAACATACACAAAACAATCACCATTCATCAACCATCATTAATATACCAATGTTTAAAACACCCAATACTTAAAAGGCTTTTTAAAATTTGAATTCATACTAAATAAATAAAAGTTATATATTAAAATTAATATATAAGCGAACATAAACGAACGAATATGAACGAACGTTCACGAACATAAATGAACGAACGGAGCTTTTGTTCATGTTCGTTCGTTTAACTAAACGAACAAAAAATGTGTTCATGTTCGTTCATTTATTAAATAAACGAACATAAACAAACTTCCTGCCGAACGGTTCACGAACGGTTTACGAACGGTTCACTGAACGTTCGGTTCGTTTACAACCATAATAACATGCTTAGAAATTAGAAAAAAAAACACCAGTGACTAAGATTTTTAGAATTTTTCAAAAAATAATTAGATAAATAAGTATATTTATATAGTATTTAATATATATATATATATATATATGTATGTATATGTGTGTGTGTGTCGGGTTTCCGGACGGATTAGGTGGCAAAAATCAAACCCAACTTGAACCTAAATTTTCCCAAAAAAATCAGTTTTCGGATTTCGAAGCATTCGGGTTTTACATAAATACTTTTTTTTTTTCGGCTCGGTTTTAAATTCAGATTTCGGATAATTCAGGTTTTAAACACCCTTAAATTTAGCCAGTAACGCATTAAACAAGTTAACATTTGATGACATGTCAAATCATGATGTAAGATTTTTTGGCTAGGAATCTAGGATGCCACATCAATTGAATTATTTAACTAGGATGACACCCACCACATCCATGCAACCCTGAAACGTGCTTGCTAGCTTTGCATTTTTCTGGCTTAATCTCCACCATAAATGAAAAACCCCACTTTCTTCAATCACTGGACATGAGAATAGTATTGAACATATAAATAATATGTTATTTTGAAATGAACTAAGAGTAAGATTGAACACAAACTAAACAATTGATAAAGACTTACAACAAGAGATTTCAAAAGAGAAAGAACGTTGGAGGCAAGTTTTAGTAAGAATAATTGCCTTTGTGAAGTGTCTTGCTAAGTATTATTTGCCTTTTAGAGGATCAAATAAGAAGTTGTATCAACGTAGCAATGATAATTTTTTGGGGTTAATTGAAATGATTGGAGAATTTGATGTGATAATTCAAGATCAAATTAGACGCATTCAAAATCATGAAGTTCATTATCATTATCTTGGCCCTTGAATTCAAAATGAGTTAATTTCTCTTTTGGCTCATAATGTGAAAAGTTCTATCATGAAAATTATTAGAGATGCTAAATATTTTTCTGTAATTCTTGATTATACACCGGATGTGAGCCATCAAGAGCAAATGAGTTTAATCATACGATGCATGAATATGTCCGGTGATAAAATAAAAGTAGAGGAGCATTTTTATAGAGTTTTTAAATGTTGATGATACATCTGGTTTAGGGTTGTTCAATGAATTGTTAGATGTACTTAAATCTCTCGATCTTAGTGTTGATGATGTGAGGGGTCAAGGTTATGATAATGGTTCTAACATGAAGGGAAAACACCAAGGGGTACAAAATCGATTACTTGAAGTTAATCCAAAAGCGTTATATATGTCATGTGCTTGTCATAGCCTTAATCTTACTCTTAGTGATATGGCTCATTCTTGTATTAAAGCTGTTTCATTTTTTGGAATTTTTCAACGCATATACACATTATTTGCTAGTTCTACAAAAATGTGGAAGGTGTTACTTGATAATGTGTCAAACTTAACTGTAAAATCTTTGTGCAACACACGTTGGGAAAGTAGAATAAAAAGTGTTAAGACAATTAGATTTCAAGCTCCTCAAATAAGATCGGTTTTGCTTGAATTATGCAAATCATGTGATGATGCCAAGACGAAAAGTGAAGCAGAAAGTTTGGTAAGTGCAATTGAAAATTTTGAGTTTTTTCTTGGCATGATTGTTTGGTATGATGTTTTATTTGCAATAAACATGGTCAGTAAAATGTTGCAATTAAAATCTATGTGCATTTATGCTACCATGGAACAATTTGAAGGTGTAGTGAAGTATTTTGAAAAGTATAGGAATGAAGGGTTTGCATCAAGTATGGATACTGCTAAAACAATAGCATGTGAAATGAATATAGATCCTACATTTTTAATTAAGCGTCGTATTATTAGGAAAAAACAATTTGATGAAAATAACAACGAAGAAGAAATGCAAGCATCGGAAAAGGAGGCTTTTAGAGTTAATTATTTTCTAACCATTGTGGACATGGCAATTTCTTCATTGAATAATAGATTTGAACAATTAAAGAAATTTGAAAGTATTTTTGGATTCTTATTCGATTATGATAAACTAAAGTCATTGGATGAAAATGAATTGATGAGATCTTATGTTCATTTTGGTGATACCTTTCATCATAATACTGTGGCGGATGTGAATGTAAATTATCTTTATTCTGAATTAAAGGTGTTGCAGGTGACTTTACCAAATAAATCAATGACGGCAGTTGAAATTCTTGAGTTTGTCAAAGTTGTAGGTTGTTACCCTAAGGTATCGGTTGCTTATCGAATTATGTTGACAGTACCTGTGACTGTAGCATTGAAATTCTTGAGTTTGTCAAAGTTGTAGGTTGTTACCCTAAGGTTTCGGTTGCTTATCGAATTATGTTGACAGTACCTGTGACTGTAGCATCTGCGGAAAGGAGTTTTTCAAAATTGAAGTTATTGAAGACGTACTTGAGGTCATCAATGTCACAAGAAAAGTTGAATGGATTGGCAATATTGTGCATTGAAAAAGGCATGCTTGATAATATTGATTTAGATGCTATTATTGATGATTTTGCATCCAAAAATGCTCGAAGAAGTTGTTTTGTATGGATTATATGTTATTATTAATGATTTTGTATCCGAAATACTCGAAGAAGTTGTTTTGTATGAATTAGATGTTATTATTGATGATTTTGTATCCGAAATACTCGAAGAAGTTGTTTTGTATAAATTATTAGTATTATTGTATGAAAGTTTATTTTTTTAATGATTAAAAACATTTATTTAAGATTTTTTTGGTATATATAGAAGGCCCAAAATTCACCAATCACCCAGGGCCCAAAAAATGTCAGAAACAGGCATGGACACCATCTACTCACAACCCTCCTTTTCTATCCTCTTTCCCTCTCTCAAGAATGTACAGTGTTATCATCTCCCTCTTCTATTCTTCATCTGTACCAAACTCGTCTCAATTAAGGTTTCAGGGTTCTTGAGTAAGGTTTCGATTAGGGTTTTTGGGGTTTGAGGTTTGGTGTTGATTTTGGATCTTGATTTTGGTGGAAGATGAGATTTGTGATTTTGATTTTGGGTAGGCAAAGAGTTCTCATCCTAGTGTAACCGAAGACTTTTGTGTCGGTGTATATATATATTATCTATGCAATTTATTCATTTTGATCTTCTTGTTTGGGTTTTATTTTAACTAGAAGGTTACTCGCACAATACAGCGAGATACATCTTGATTTTAGTGTTTTGTTTTTTTGTCTTAGTTGATGTTATAATATGGTTTTATGTGGTTTTGAGAAAACAATAATGTTTTTATTTTTAAATAAAATATAAATATGAAGATATCATAAAAAATATTGATATTAGTACCAAACTAACTATTTAAAAATTTTCTTTTTTTTATATTTCTTTAATTCATTTTTTTTGTTTAATAATATAATTTTTTATAAAAATAATAATTAAGTATTTTGTTAGAACTCAATGATTATCCTAATTATATTTTAGGTTTTTTATATTTAAAATGAAATGTTTATCCTCTATTTGATTATGTTTATCTGAAGTTAGTTACACGAATTCAAATATAGAGTTTTAATAAGTTGTACTTACATTGTAATCTTGACTTTTAAAAAATATGTATCAATAGACAGTACTTCATACATAAAAAATGGTTTTCAAGAGTTTTTGTCAAATATTTTATAATATAATGTAGATAATGTTGTTTTTGGGTGGAGAAAATGACCAAAAAGAATTAGGTTTGATCGGAGAAGATGACCGAAAATGGTTGAGTTTGGCTAGAAAAATTTTTGGGGAAGGGAAGGATAAATGAGTAGGACAAACGGCATGACTTAAATGGATGGATTAAAATATTTTTTTTAATTTTAGTTATAAAATGAGAATAAATTGGAAAGTCTAAAATGCTCATCTTGTATTTTCAAAACTGCAGGGATGTAAAATGTTATATCCGAAAAATCACGGGGACTAAAATTGTAGTTTAACCTGAACTTAATTAAATATATTAACTTATAAAAGAGAGAAATTTCATGGTTGTCATCATCAAGGGTCTATAGCTCAGTGGTAGAGCATTTGACTGCAGATCAAGAGGTCACCGGTTCGATCCCGGTTGGGCCCTTTTTAATTTTTACTTTTTACCCTCAGACTTTTCTCTTTATTGTTTTCTCCCCCCAGGGTTTTCCTACTTTTTAAATTTCTCCCTTTACCCTCAAACTTCTCTTTTGAGATTTAGTATCGGAGCACTTACAAAAACTTGAAAATTTTAAAAAAGAACTTGTAAGTGCTCCAATACTAAATTCTCAAAATTCGTAATTATAAAAACATCTATAAATTTTTTTGTGTAAAAGTATTTTTAAAGGTGTATTTAAATGACACAGTTAGAGATTTTAAAATATATTTCAATAAGATATTCTTCAAAAAAAAATCTTCAAACAATAATTTTTTTCAAGTTCAAAATTGATTTTTGAAAAAAAAAATTGGGACCGATTCGGGCCCGACTCAGGAACAAGCCCGATTACAAAACATGGAAACTAGGTCATGTGTTTTTGGTCAGGATCAGGACCGGTTATAAAAAGAAAATCAAGGGCCGGGACCCATTTTTGGATATCTCTAATTAGAAGTAATCACATAACTGAAAGTTATCTGATTGAACACACCGGTTATGTACCCGCTGCAATGCAGCACATGTAAAGTTTATTGAATTTGAAGGAGGATAACTCGAAATGACAATCATGTTTGATGCCTTTTTTATTTTATGTCATGCATGATGCTAATTTTATGTTTTTGTATGGTATATAAATTCAAAGTTAATATGGAATAAATTAAATCATAAATTAATTATCTTAAATTAGGGGGTAATATTCGATCTCTAAGGTTCACATGTATTGTAGGGATCTCATTTGATTATGTTCTCACCAAGTTAAAAAAATAATGGTTTATTTTTGTTGTGACTTGTAATTAGGGGTGCAAATGATGCGAGTCGAGCTTGAGTAATGGTATACTTGACTCGAACTCGATTGCCATTTCTCAAGCTTAAACTCGCAAGTAGTTAAAAACTAAACTCGACTCGAACTCAGTTGCAATTTTTTAAACTCAAACTCGAGCTTGAACCTGTTTGAAGCTCGAACACAAATGAAGTTCGAACCAAGCTCACCCGTTGAAATTTTATGGTCTTCTCTTATAAATTTTCAAAGCTTAAAAGGTGTTCTCTTAATATGTATAAAACTAAGAGGGATGCACCTCAAATTTCATCATAAAAAAGACAAACATATTCTATTCACACCCCTCTCTTATTATAACACCTCTTCACCCTTCCTTACCATCTTTTTTTCAATATGGGACAATTTCACCAACATTTATATAGTTTTTTTTGTCCTTTTTAATTATGATTTTAATATATATATATATATATATATATATATATATATATATATGGGAACGTTCAAATAAAAATCACTCAATTTGTAAAAACCGTGAAAACCTCATTCAACCAATCATAATTTTTTATTTTGTTCATTTTTTTGTAATTATGAGAGGTTGATTAACCATTTTTATTGTGTAGGGTGTAATCATGGATATTATCATCTTCATTATTTTAATTTTAGAGAAATACAGGAAACAGTTTCATTAAAATTTCATTAAATATTATATGAAACAATTTCATAACCATATATGAAACAAATTCATGAAAAAAAGTATTATATGAAACAATTTTACAAGATTAAACAATTTCATGAAAAAATTTCATAAAATTAAACAATGAAATCGACATATGAGGGTGGTTTGTACGGTTTTTACAAATGAGGGTGGTTTTCATTTGATCGCTTATATATATATATATATATATATATATATATATATAACAATTAATTAGTTTTTATAGTTAAAAAATGAACAATTTTATTCAAATATCTAAAATTATAAGACATTTTAGTGAAGAAATAAATGAATAGAAAACATACATGATGCACGTATGCAAGAGAGATCTTGTTGAAGATGAGTAAGATCTATCAACTTCCATTTACTTCTGATACATCATTGAGCCTATTTTGTTACCTTTGATGATAGACATATAAAGACAAGACAACTATTTTTTAGCTGGTGTTTAAGATTGCTTATTTGAAACAGTTTCTGTTTTTTTACAGAACTCCTTATCAACTTATTATAAGTTAGAATGATTTAACTTTTTTAAAAACTTCTTATTACCGGTTTGACGTCATTATAAACTGTTTATCCAAACACTCAAAAGTGCTTATTACCAATGTTATACTGGAATAAGTCAATAAGTTGTTTTTATAAGCAATCTCAAACACCCCTTAAAGAAAAGAGAGAGAATGATGAATTTCTAAGTCACTTGTAGAAGTTCTCTATCACCAAAAAAATTGGAAGTATGGAAAACCCAAATTAAAGGTAAACATCCAAGAACTTCATATGAGAAACCAAAACCATACAATTTAACCTCGAAACTGGTCTGCAATCCATACAAAGCTAATCCTATGTATGACAGACATTCATAAACATCATCATTTCAACACTGAATGAAGTTTTTGATTGTGTATGAAAAGAAAACCAATTTTTTTTATTAACCTAGATATCCAACCCGCTATGCGAGCCGATTAATCCCCGGGCAACCACCTACTTTGCAGGTAGCCCAGAGTCACCGCATTTGAACCTCCGTGGCCACAAGGGGATTTTTGTTCTTTCTTGGATTTGAACCTGGGACCTCCAGACACTTTTAACCTTTGGAGCCAAGCTCAAACCAATCAAGCACCACCCTTATGGTTAGAAACCAGTTTATAAACTATAATAAATCCATCCGTCTCATAATAATATGTACATTTCAATAGTTATACGTGCGCAGTTTGGCAAACATCGACTATTTTGCAAAGACAACGTCAACTTTCTTTTGTGGTGATTTGGTGATTCGGTACGCGTCAAGGCATATCGCCATTCTGTTGCAGTTAGGCAAACAAACCCTAATTTCTCAAGAGAAGTGGCATGCCTTGAAACAGAGAATCCATCAAAAGCGCACTTGCCCAGAAACAAATGCTAGAATTCACTCCTGAATACGTCTTGCAGATACAGAGTGCTAGCTGATAATTCCCTGGTCAGAGCTTCAGCGAAATCTACAATGTCTGTTACTCTTTCAGAAGATTGAGGTGGTAAGAGAGACGACCCAAAACATGATTCAAGAACTAAGTTCACTAGAGAGAAATCAAATGAGATGGGAGTCGGTAGATCATTAACGAGTTTTTGCATCTTTGGGTTCCTGATGCTTTTGAAGAAGCTTCTAGAGAGTGGCTCAGAAGGAAGCAAAGCAAGTGAATCCGTTAGATAGCGGTTCAACAT